CGAGCAGTTCGAAAACAGGTAAAAAATGGAAGTAGAAAAATAGGAAGCACCTTTGGTGGGAAGGGAACAGCCTTCCGTGCGCCTTTGGCGTTGAGTCATGCCGGCCTCATGATCACGGAGACGTCTCCGGACAGCGCTGGCTCTTCGGCTTTGAAACGGAGATGAGCAGCGCCCCCTAGAGTCGGGAACGACCAGCACATATGTGCAAGGGGAACCTTTACCTTTAATCTGTTCAGGATGTGTTAAAACAGGTGTGTTTAGTGAAGTCACTTCCTTAAGGGTGCAATAATAGCCCCAACCAAAATCACACCTTACATGTACAAGCATTCACAATGGTTCACTTAATAACCATGGGGAAAAAAAGGTAATAAAATCAGGCGTGACTCATAACAGCCATTGTGCTTAGCAACGGATGTTGTGGTCCTAATTATGGTAATTGAGGATTATTTGTAAAGCACCTCAGGCGCGGTGCGCCTTAGGTAAAGGTAAATGTTCCCCTCGTACGTATGCATTAGTCGTTCCTGACTCTAGGGGGCGCTGCTCATCTCCGTTTCAAAGCCGAAGAGCCAGCGCTGTCCGAAGACGTCTCCGTGGTCATGGGGCCGGCATGACTCAATGCCGAAGGCGCATAGAACGCTGTTCCTTCCCACCAAAGGTGGTTCCTATTTTTCTATTTGCATTTTTACGTGCTTTCGAACTGCTAGGTTGGCAGAAGCTGGGACAGGGAACGGGAGCTCGGTCCATTACGCGCCGCTGGGGATTCGAACCGCCAAACTGCCGACCTTTCTGATCGACAAGCTCAGCGTTTTAGCCACTGGGCCATCTTATCATAGCGTCCTTATCGTCATATAAATTCACCGGTCTTCGTTGGATATAAATGACATTTTAAAATGTTCAGATATCATGCCAGTTTTATTATTAGCATGACACGTGGCTGTTGAAATTTCCCAAGTATAGGAACATTTTCTTTTCCTGACTTTTGGTAAATCACAGGATTTAAAAGCGTTTCTCTTCTTGGGGCGTTTTAAGGCATTTTGCAGTTCCTGTAACTCAGCAATTCAATTAACAGGTAGTCCTCGAGTTAGGACCACAATTGAGCCCTGATTTTCCTTTGTTAAGGGAGTTTTGGCCCATGCTACGACCCTTCTTCCTGCAGCTGTTAAGGGAATCATTCTAGTTAGGCTAGTAAAATGGTTGTTAAGTGAATTGTTGTTAGGAGGTCGCAAAAGGGGATCATGTGCCCCCCCCCCCACACACACACACACTGTAACTGTCATAAGCTTGGCCGGTTGCCAAGCGTCTGAATTTTGATCATGTGACCCACAGGGATTCTGCAATGGTCATTAGTGTGAAAAATGGTCATAGGTCACAATTTTCAATGTAACTTCAACTGTCATTAAATGAAGCACTCTTTTTTAAAAAAAACTTTCATAAGCCCACCAAACTTGGCTTAGCAGCCCACCAGCGACGGGTGCAGGGCAAAGCATCCCTCCAAACCACCATTCAGGGCCAACCCTAACAAACAAGGTTTGAAATCTTGGCCACCTTAAAAAAAAATATCTCCCATTCTCCAGTCTAAGTCTATGATCGCAAAGCGGGCTAGAAGGGCCAAGCGGGAGAGCCGCGCCTGCGCGACCGGCTGCCCGGAAACCGTGCCGCCCTCACCGGAAGCCTCTCGCGGCGGCGGCTGCGCGTTGCCCACCGCGCCTGCGCATTGGGCGGCTCGCCTCCTCCGTTAGAGAGCAGCGCGCTGAGGGGAGACGGGGAGAAGAAGAAAGGCCGGTGGAGGCGGTTGCAACGACGGAGACGGCCGGCAGGCTAAGGACCCTTCCGAGGCATCCCTCGGCGGCCTTCCGCTCGCGTGTGCCGGGGAGTCGGTTTTCCGAGGTGCCCGCCAGCGGGGCTCCCTTCATGGCCGACGGCGGGAAAGGCGGATACAACGGTGAGGGGGGCTGAGGGCCCGGGAGGGGCTTTCCAGAGAGTCCTCGGCCGCCAAGGCCTACCTCACAGGGTCGTTGTGCATAGGAAGGAAGACGGATAAGCGATGAGGGGGGCCTTCCCGGAGAGTCCTGGGCAGTCCCGGCCTACCTGACAGGGTCGTTGTGCGTGGGGAGGAGGGGGGTAAGGCGAATACAGCGGTTGTGGGGGGGCTCAGAGGGCGACGGAGGGGGGACTTGAGGGGGACATGGTGGGGGGGGCTTCCTGGCTAGTTCTCTCCCGCCTGGCCTACCTCACAGGGTCGTCGTGCATAGGAAGGAGGGCGGGAGAGGCAGATACAATGATGAAGGGGATCTGAGGGGAGGAGGGAGATTTGAGGGGTTGGGGAGGGCTATCTCAGAGAGTCCTCGGTGGTCCCAGCCTACCTCACAGGGTCGTTGTACAGCAGCGAGGGGGACGGGGCTTCCCAGAGAGTCCTCGGCCTCCTGACCTACCTTACAGGGTTGTTTGGCATAGGAAGGAGGGCGGGAAAGGCGGATACAGTGGTGAGGGGAACGGGGGGGGGGGGGCGTTGAGGGGTTGGGGGGTACTATCCCAGAGAGTTCTCGGCCGCCTGGCCTACCTCACAGGGTCGTTGGACGTGGGGAGGAGGGAGATAGGGATAGATGGGTGGATAGGTGGATAGATAAAATAGACACAGACAGGGATAGGTAGATGGATGGATGGATGGATAGATAGATAGACAGATAATATGATAGAAAGGAAGATAGGGATAGATGATAGATAGATAGATAGATAGATAGATAGATAGATAGATAGATAGATAGATAGATAGATAGATAGATAGATAGATAGA